TGGCTTGCTAGCATAACCCTCACTTAGCTGCTCCAACACCGGCACGAGCCCCGAGGCTCCTGGATAAACTCATTGCATGCATTTCCAGGAGCAGGGTTCACTGGTACCAGCTGTAACTGGGGCTTTCGGGATTGTGCATGGCCAGGTGAGAATAGAAAACAGGTCCCAAAATGACCACACGGTCTCCCACCAGTGCTCTGACCTTGAGCCATTCCTTGTTAATCCCCTCTCCTGTCTCCATTTTAACGGCATCCTGGCAATAAGCACGGCTGGAAAACCTTATGGCCATATGATTCAAGGCCTGGAATTTACTTAATAAGGGCACTCCAGCTGATTGCAAATAAATCTTAATTAAATCACGTAAAATCCCTCATTAAACCTAATATCCCATGAAGGTCCCTCTCTTAACCCCAAGCAAAACCACCGGCCCAAAGGCAGGGCTTGTACCTCCAGCCCAGCGTTGTCTTCCCCCAAGCCCCGCACCGAACCAGAGACCCTTCCCTAATCCGCTTAGCAAAATCTCATTTACAGGGCCAACGGGAGAGTCTCTTTCATACCCATCCTCTGACTCCCTCAGCACTTGGGCACCCGGTGGGTGAGCCTGCCTGGGGAAAGGATGAAATCTCCCTGCCACACATTAGAAATATCACCAAGCAATATTCAAGTCAGCCCAGAGACTTATTAGTCCTATTTTCTATCCACCCCGCGGTGGAAAGAGGGATGGAGTGAGGAACTCCAGCCCATAGGAACAGGGGAAAAAATATATTAGGGAAAGCAAGAAACAAGGGATGCTGGCAGGGAGCAGGGACAGACTCGGTGCCACAAGGGATGGAAAAGATGTCAGGCACCACTTGCAGATCTCCCTCCTCCCTGAAAGCCGTTCCCAGGAGAAAGTCATGAACAAGCATGGCTGGGAGCTCCCCTGAGGGAAAACCTCCCTCAAGTGTTTCTCTGAGCTTCTGCCACCAATTTAAGAAGCAGAAAAACCTACATTAAAACCCAGCTTCTGCACCAGCCAGCCTCCTTTTGCCTCCACACCTCCACAGAGCCAGGACAGATCCCAGCGTAAGTCAGCAGAACCCCACGGGCCGGCAGAGCTGTAAAGCAAGCCAGTAAATCTCTCTTTAATCGCGTTTAAGAGAGCCAAATGCATTGGGCACCTATTAAAACCACAGCCCGATGCTCTCCTCGCAGTGTGCCATGCCAGAAACAGGGTGAGGACAGCAAGGTGCCCCATGCCCTGGCAGGGGGAGGCAACGGCAGCCCCCTAGCCAGGAGGGGAGCTGGATCAAGCAGTTCAGACCAGCCCAGTGCAAAGAAGAGCTGTTGGAAAAGAGCAGCCACGAAAAGATGGGGAACTCTGGGCAGTTGTATTAGAACTCTGCCGCCTTTAGTGGGGAAAGAAAAACTGAGGAGGGGGCCAAATCCAGCTCGGCCCCACAGCTCTGTAATTCAGAGCAACGTCCTGACGTTCCTGACCTTCCTGAGCAGTTCAGGTTGCACGGCGGCTGCTTGCTCCCTTCCCTGCTTGTTAATCGCCGCTCATCCAAGTGTCTTCAGTAAAAGCCAGCATCCGTAAACGGGGTGTTATAAAAGCTGACAGCTATTCTGTGAGCAGAGCCGCTTTGGGGGATGTCGCAGAAGACCCGAACCTCCAAGGGCAGCACAAGCCAGTGCTGGCCACAGGGAGCCACATCTCTTGATGCTGGCATGAAGGGACAGCGAAATATTTCGAGGCACTGACAGCAAAGGAAGAGCAGAGACGCCCGAGACTGGCGAGCCAAGACTGCCACTGCCAGGATGTATTTCTCGTGTCGCTGAGCGGGATGGACAGGACCACGCTGGGGAGGGAAACGCTCTCCCAGACATTGCCTGCAGCCCACTCAGAGCTGTCGGTGCAAAGCCTTTTAGCTCAGCAATTAAATTCGCAGCTTCCCCCTGGCACTCCTCCACGCGCCGCTCTCACCTCGCTTCCACCGACGCAGTTGGGGCTCGCCAGGGCAGACATCGTAGCCAGGGTGGCAAAGCAGCCCTGTTCAGAGCCCCAGCGTACAGCTCTGTGCTGGGGCTCCCTCAGCCCATGCAGGGACTCCCCAAATGGGAGCTGCTCCAGAGGCCGAACCCATGCTGGTGCCAGCATGTCTGAATCCCACCTGGATTTGCCCAAACATGCTCCCTTCCATCTGCCCCCTTCCAAATGCCGACAGCTCAAGGCACGCAGGCATCAAATCCAGCTTTAACAGCTCCTTGGTGAGCGGTGGGACATAAATCAGCCCGCTGCCAGCTTACACCAGCAATAGATTTGGCCCTCCATCATTTACAGTCACCGCCCGGCCGAGCCTGCTGCTCCAACACCGCAGCACGTGCACTAAGCTTCAACAGCAGCCAGATTAATTAATATTTCACAGCGGTGATTAGACTCAGGCATTAAGACCACACCAGCCTTTTTGCACGCAGGGGAAACCACCCATTAAGGGCAGAGCTGGAGGTTTGCGTTATGTACCTGGCACGCCGGCAGTGCCGATGCCAGGGGAGGAGAAAGGGAGTTAAGCGCCTTAATGAGTGCCTGGTTTCATTATACAACACATAGGAGAGGGAAAGCTGAGGGGGAGGAAAGAGCTTAAATAGCAGGAAATTCACTCAAACTGTGGCCTCGACACGGTTCCTCCACGCGAGTTGTTGTGTGGACGTGGTGTGTCTGATCTGGACCACATAGGTGGAGAGGCTTCAAAGGAGGCTGAGAGTCCACCCAGCATCAGGGTCGGCCTCTGAAAACTGCTTAATTAAGAGCCAGGTTCATTTTGCAAGGCCAGGGCCTTGCACCACACAGTGCAGAGCCGGATACGACGGAATGGCCAAGGACACAGGAAGGCTTGTAACTTTGAAAGGTTTTCTAGAGAAAAAAATCTTGCAAATCCCCCCACTCTGTTTTGCATGTTCAACAAAAAACACAATAAGGACCTTTGTGAGATGCTGACCACCCATGTTTCTGCAGTTTCCTATTTCCCCAAGATACGCAACATCGAAGCCCACAGCCAGTTTTAGGTTTTGGCAGAAAACCTGTCCTCATCTACAGAGAGACAGAAACGTGATGGGACTGACCACAGCCACCCTTTCTGTTCAGCTTTTCTGGGTTGCTTATTGTCTCTTCGGAGGGGGAGCAACTCCAATCCCGAACACGGCACGACCTGCGACAGAGCTACAGCACTGCAAAGGGTTCACCTGGGAGCGGGGCATCTCTGGAAGTGCATTTTCTTGTGCAATTACTGATTGTGCATGCAATTACCAGAGCCCTTAAGTGGTCGAGCTTGATGAAGCTCAGGTTCGAGGTGAGCAATGCCAGCTCCTGGCTTGGCAAAATCCCTTCTAGCACTTGCTCCAGGCAGAGGAGTCTCCATCTTCACTGCAAGGGTCAAATCCTGCCCAGACAAGGCAACACTATCTGGAAACACACCAGGAAAAAAGCCCTGGACTCAGCCACAGCCATCGAGGTTTAACGCAAACCCTTAGGAGAGCCGTAACCGGGCGACTCAGGAAAGCCCCCAGCACTGCCGGCACCACAAACATCCCCTTTTCCTCTACGAGCACTGAATTAATTTGCAGATCATTTTGTTAAAAAGCACAGAAGGAAAAAAAACGAAAAAAAAAAGAACCTAAAGCTTAATTGCATTTCCATTCCCCTGCTGAGCCATCCAGTCCCACTGAGCGCTATTTATTTAGCGCAAAACCCGTCCGCGTGTGCGGCTGCTGGCTGTGACTCAGTGGCACGCTGGTAGCCCCAGACGGCTTGCGGGGACCTCGCTGGCACCCACCACTGACAATGCCTCCTCCCCAGGAAGCCGAGAAAACCTCATTTCCCCTGCTCCAGCTGCTGGTGGGGGGGAAAAAAAAAGAAAAAAAAAGGGAACCTTCTCTATTTCCAGTTTCGCTGGCGTGGGAGGAGACAGCTCGCGCCGGCAAGCAGAAAGCAAAGTGAGGGAGTGTGGAGGAAACAAACGGCGGTGAGTGGCTGCAGGTCGGGATACGGCTCCCAACGGCTCGGTGCCACAGCTCCAGCACATGTTGCCTTCCCAGCAGCTGCCAAAAGCACGAAGTGGGGAGGACTTGCAGACAAACCCTACTGGAAACCCCCAGTGGAAAGGTTAACGTCATCCCATCTCCGCAGCTCCCTTGTTCCCTGCTCT